CCGGGCACCATTTGAATGTAAAAACAATCTTTGAATTTTCTTCATAGCTCTGAAAACTGTTGAAGAGTAACATGAACATGTAATAACCTTCAACAACAGGATAATAAAAAACCATTTCAACCATTTTAGACAGGAAAATTGGCAGAAGCGTATGCAGACAAGATTGTTAGCATAATTATGTATTTTTGTGTTTGTAATATATTTATATTACCAAATGTTTTTTTTTTTTGCTTTTGTTTTATAGATGTCAGTATATGATAGATGATACATCAATTTATTATCTGTGAATCGAACGTTCAGTTTCGCTGTACAGTTTCTTGCACAACTTGTTTTCACGCGTTTCGTAGCTTTGGAATTTCGATTACTTAAACGTCACCATTTTTCAACTGGATTAATTTCATAACATTTGTTACGTTGAAGCTTTCAATTACGAGTATTGGGTCTAAATTGTAATGTTTTTTACTATTAATTCGTTAGTTGATAAACTTGGTATGTTATCAAGATTTCTAGTTTTACTTTTAAATCACACGTATAAATAAAGAATATATACATATTTATAGACTGTATGTAGCGCCACAGAAGTGTAAATATTTATAGACTGTGTGTAGCGCCACAGAAGTGTAAATATTTGTAGACTGTGTGTAGCGCCATAGAAGACAGTCTATAAATATTTGTACTTCTGTGGCGCTACATACAGTCTATAAATATTTGTACTTCTGTGGCGCTACATACAGTCTATAAATATTTGTACTTCTGTGGCGCTACATACAGTCTATAAATATTTGTACTTCTGTGGCGCTACATACAGTCTATAAATATTTGTACACTTCTGTGGCGCTACATACAGTCTATAAATATTTACACTTCTGTGGCGCTACATACAGTCTATAAATATTTACACTTCTGTGGCGCTACATATAGTCTATAAATATTTGTACTTCTGTGGCGCTACATACAGTCTATAAATATTTAGTGAAGCGCCACAGAAGTACAAATATTTATAGACTGTGTGAAGCGCCACAGAAGTGTAAATATTTATAAACTGTGTGAAGCGCCACAGAAGTGCAAATATTTACATTTACAAAAAAACCTATTTAACTAACTAACTTTAATGTATTTTGAAAAAATGGTCACATTATGAAACTGTAAAGAATAATAAAAGAAAAGTTTATTTTAGTGTTTCAGTCACATCTTACTTGAGCTTTGCCAAGTAAACTCCATTCAGGTGTAATATACCACAAGATCCCTTCCTTAGCGCCTGGTAGTGTTACCCCTCGGAAGAACATGATTATGAGCACCACATACGGAAACAAAGCTGTGAAATACACCACCTGAAAAATGTCAAGATTGTAGCAGAACACAAACATAAATTAATTACATGTCAGTGTAAAGTAATGAAGTCAATAGATAATAATATTTACTACGTATTACTTTAGTAATATTTATGAGTCAATAAATAAACACTCAAATATATTAACTACTGGTGTAGTGTAGCCGAGTTAATATATATATACATTCAAATCTGCTAAACATTGGTGTAGAATTTCTGTGTTAATAAATAAATACCCACATCTTTTAAGTATTAGTATAGTATTTCTGAGTTAATAAATAAACACTCAAATATATTAACTACTGGTGTAGTGTAGCCGAGTTAATATATATACATAAAATCTGCTAAACATTGGTGTAGAATCTATTAACTATTAGTGTAGTATTTCTGAGTTGATAGATAAATCCCCACATCTATTAAGTGTTAGTGTAGTATTTCTGAGGTAATAAATAAATCCCCACATATGTTAAATCTTAGTGTAGTATTTCTCAGCTAATAAATAAATTCTCACATATGTTAAATATTATGTAGAATTTCTGAGTTAATATATAGATACCCACATCAATTACATATTAGCGTAGTATTTCTGAGCTAACGAATAAATGCTCACATCTATTAAATATTAGTGTAGTATTTCTCAGCTAATAAATAAATCTCACATATGTTAAATATTATGTAGAATTTCTGAGTTAATATATAGATACCCACATCAATTACATATTAGCGTAGTATTTCTGAGCTAACGAATAAATGCTCACATCTATTAAATATTAGTGTAGTATTTCTCAGCTAATAGATAAATACCCATATGTGTTAAATATTAGTGTAGAATTTCTAAGTTAATAAATAGATACCCACATCTATTAAACATTTGTGTTGCATTTCCGAGCTAATAAATAAATACCTACATGTATTAAACATTTGTGTTGCATTTCGGAGCTAATAAATAAACGCTTGAATATGTTAAGAATTAGTGTAGTGTTTCGGAGTAAATAAACGAAATTAAGTTTTCGTGTTGTGTTTCTCACTTAATAGAAACAATCAAATCCATTAAATATTAGCGTAGTGTTATCGGGTTAATAACATCCAATTTGTTGTTATGGTTTAATGATTATAGACATTATTTCATTGGAGATCAAACAACTTGCTTATCCAATTAAGAAGTTTTTAATTGGTTGGTTTAGAAATTAAAACTCAGATGGAGGCAACATAAAACTAAGACCTTGTTATAGTGCACAAAATACATGTCAGTAGCTCTCACTCTGACTGACAACTGTTCCAAATAACCTATAATTATTTATGTATTTAATGACTAATATACTGAGACACTTCCTTCCTTATCCATCTATTCTGGAAAGTATTCCAAACGTTTAAATATGATCATGGCTAACATCAAAGTTATCGGAATGTTATAAATTACACCTCAGTAGACAAGAGCGAATAAAATGAACGAAGCTTATTGAATATAATAGTTAGAAGCGCAATAAGTGTAGGGATTAACATAATCCTTCACCTCTATGGCAAGACCAGTAAGAAGTTAAACAATAAGCGTAGGGATTAACCTAATCCTTCTAACTCTAGGACAAGACCAGTGAGAAGGTAAACAATAAGCGTAGGGATTAACCTAATCCTTCTAACTCTAGGACAAGACCAGTGAGAAAGTAAAGAATAAGTGTAGGGATTAACATAATCTTTCTAGCTCTAGGACAAGACCAGTGAGAAAGTAAACAATAAGCGTAGGGATTAACCTAATTTTTGTAACTCTAGGGCACGACCAGTGAGAAGGTAAACAATAAGCGTAGGGATTAATGTAATCCTTCTAACTCTAGGGCAAGACCAGTGAGAAAGTAAAGAATAAGTGTAGGGATTAACATAATTTTTCTAGCTCTAGGACAAGACCAGTGAGAAAGTAAACAATAAGCGTAGGGATTAACTTAATCCTTCTAACACTAGGGCAAGATCAGTGAGAAGGTAAACAATAAGCGTAGGGATTAACTTAATCTTTCTAACACTAGGGCAAGATCAGTGAGAAGGTAAACAATAAGCGTAGGGATTAACCTAATCCTTCTAACTCTAGGGCAAGACCAGTGAGAAGGTAAACAATAAGCGTAGGGATTAACTTAATCCTTCTAACTCTAGGGCAAGACCAGTGAGAAGGTAAAGAATAAGCGTAGGGATTAACTTAATCCTTCTAACACTAGGGCAAGATCAGTGAGAAGGTAAACAATAAGCGTAGGGATTAACTTAATCCTTCTAACAATGGGGGAAGATCGGTGAGAAGGTAAATAATAAGCGTAGGGATTAATCTAATCCTTCTAACTCTAGGACAAGACCAGTGATAAAGTAAAGAATAAGTGTAGGGATTAACATAATCTTTCTAGCTCTAGGGCAAGACCAGTGAGAAAGTAAACAATAAGTGTAGGGATTAACCTAATCTTTGTAACTCTAGGGCAAGATCAGTGAGAAGGTAAACAATAAGCGTAGGGATTAATCTAATCCTTCTAACTCTAGGGCAAGACCAGTGAGAAAGTAAAGAATAAGTGTAGGGATTAACACAATATTTGTAGCTCTAGGGCAAGACCAGTGAGAAATTAAACAATAAGCGTAGGGATTAACCTAATCTTTGTTACTCTGGGCAAGACCAGTGAGCAAGTAAACAATCTCCTATGAGGTTTAGGTAAGCATTATATACAACAATTTCAACTAATTGTGACTTTTATTGCATATGAATTATGAATGTCTTGAGAGACGATAGGGTCTATGAACCTTAAATGCTGAACATTTAGATAGAGTGTTCAGAATAATTTTAGTACCACACTGAACCTTGTGGTATGCCAAGTTTAATATGAACAGGTACGTTAATCATCATAATGATTCTGGACATCTTTGGCATACACGTTCCGATTTGGCTTACTTTATGTGTTCTATGATTAATGTTGTAGTTATTCCGCATAGAAAATTATTAAGGTATGTAATTATGATACATTCTACTAAATATTACTGAAATGTTTTGAATATTCGTATAAATATACAGTGTAAAACATACATTGGTTTTTCGTTTAATAATTCAAACTTTTGCACCATGTTTCAAGCCATTAGTAGTAATAAACCTTATCAGTAAAAGATAAGCATTTTTGGCAAGCAATCCAAAATTGAAGCTCAAAAAATAAGAAGGTATAGACGAGGTTCCTAAAAGGAAGGCCCAAAAATACTAACACTGGTTGAAGTGGAACAAGAAATATTACTGAAATACCTGGTACATACATCCGAAAGTTTCGAGAATGGGATTTTAATTTCTTATGGATTTGAGAAACTTGTCACGTTGTTTCTCACACACTTTATTTATAATGCGAGTAGCCAAAACGGGGAAAGTTCGTTATGGGTCGTATAATTAGGGCTACAATAACTTTAAAAAAGTGTATTTGTTAACTTCTCGCAACTATAAGTACAAGGTTTCCTTTTGTCATGAGTGGGAACTAATAAATATATATATATATACCCTTTTAATGCTCGGAAGCAGAAATCTAAGTTATCCCGAGAGCTGATAGACACAGAGAAACTATTGAAAAAGGGCTTTTTTATTCTTGGAGAATGACAACTGATCTTTTTAGAACTGAAAAAATACCTACTTTTCCCGAAGACTGTACACCTTTGGATAAACAAGCAAACACGATGATCCAGGCTAGTAGAAGACTTAGAGCTAAAGGCCATCTTACTTCGCCAGTTTCTTCGATTCCACTTGATATGCCCAACACATAATGTCTAAAGGACAAAAACACAAGTCACATAACGTCTAAAAGATAAAAACACAAAACATTATATTATATTATGAATGTTATTTGCTTGATCTATGTGCATTATGTATTAAGCCTATCCTAATATTCATACCATAAACTAATTAATAGGTTCAATCTATTGCTTGTTCTATGTGATTTATGTATTAGGTCTATCATAACCTTAATACTATTAATTGACGAATATATCACTCTTATTAGCTTAACCTATTGTACTGACAAGTTGGGTGTATTCTAATCTTTGTACTGTTAACTATTTAGGTTAAGTTTATTGCTTGTTCTATATGTCTTACGGATTACATCTGTCCTAATATTCTGGTCTACATAACAAGAAATGACGAATATGTTAAACACTCATTACCATGAAATATTATATTACACTTACAGCACCACTTGTACAATGATTTATCATTAACCTTCAATTTACCTATCGGTTTATATACTTTTCACTACCACTGAGGTCTACATATTACACCATATTGAGTAGGTTTATCTCCTTGTCTGTTACAACACTTAGTGTAAAGAACTCCCTAATAAAATAGGATAAAATCACTCATTTCATATGAAAAATACAAAGGGGGGCCTAACAGTGATTTATGGGATTAATTGAAATATTGGTAGTGTTTTTTGTTTCATTTTTTCATGATTCATACGTTATGACGGACCTTATAGCCAATAAATCGTATTACACAAAGTAATTTGGTGCATAAGTAGTTTAGAAGAACGTGTTTTAAATGTCTGGACTAAGGAGTTTGATCGTATACATCCTGCTTATTAGTTGAATTTCCTATTCTTACTGGTAATGTTTGTCGTCGATGTTCGTTTAACATGCTCACAGCAATAGAATTTTAACTTACAGAAAGTATTCGTCGGCTGGGGTTTTCTTGTGCATGCTTTTGACGAGTTCTGTTAGATTTAGGGCGCTTGATACATTCGAACTGAAACAGGTTTGGTTGAAGTAAGTTCCATTTTTCAGATCACACGCATCAGCATCTTGATAGGAGTAACATGCTGGAAGAAAATTCAACCGATATTTGGAAATGAAAAGTGAACTACGATACAAAACCGGGAAAAGGCAAAATACATTATTTTCTAAAAACACGTAAAGATACTAATAAATGAGCAATGAAAATTTAATAAAAATGCTTGTCATTGGCGAGTTGTATCGAAACACTATTTTGTACTGTATGAAACACAAGTAAAGGCTCTATAAGAAATGTCTTTTTCGACATGCTGAAATGTAACGTATAAAAGCCATTTTTACAGGGGAAAAACAAGTTAAAATTTGTTACAATTAAAACTACATTTTTTAAGGATCTTTACGGCTTCTCTATTGGTTCATACGATGACCCTAGCGAATTATAATGGTTCAAGCCATTTTCCATTATTCTTGTGTGATCTATTTTCATTATTTTGAATGTATAAGCAAGTAATGTATTTTAACACTCACATAGAACAAAAAATAATCAACTCAGAATGAAAGTTTGAAATATTAAAAACAAATGGATCTCTCCTTAGGGAATCAATTACACACAATTACAATTAAAAGCATTTGAGAAAGCAAATATTTAAACTTGCTATAAGTCAAATACGTATAATCCTTTGAATTTTTACGTACTCATTGTTTAAATATTGACAGAACTCTAACGTCATACCTTCCCCAGGAGATAATACTTTTCCAAGGAGATTAGCATGTATTACTTCAAGCTGAAATTCCATGCGATAACAGCAGTTATGTTAAATAAAAGTTATGATTTTCAGCAGTTTCAAGAAAAATTCTTAAAAAATTACGTTTTACAATCATCTTCAAACGAAGAAGAATTGAACTACATTGCACGATGTTTTAGTTTTCAGTCATTTTTTCATGTAGTTTACTCTCTCTCGGTAGTTCAGTGGCAAGCTAGAGGGCTTATAGCTCTAATATTTTTGGTTCTATCCCTGGGATGGGCATAGCTCATATAGCCCATTGTAATCTTTGCGTTTGAAATAAATATTTACTTATTTTTATACTGCATTTATCTGAGTTAAAATAGCTTTTTCCAGGCTCACTTTACCTATATGTTTTTATCTCTATAAAAACCAGCCTTTATTCATTTCATTTGTATGTTAACATTTTCAAACTTTAGTTGTTGATAATAAAATTATATACAATTTATATTTATGCTAACTCTTTTTCCCCTTCGTTAATTAAATTTAAATATTCTAACTAAACTTATTGTTCAAGATGCATCACACTATTTTAAAAGTTGTTAAAATGCCAGTATTTGATTTTTTCTCAATAGATATGTATTTAAGCAGAAATCAACCAAAACTGAGTATTCGATGTGTTCATAGATTTCAAATTACAAATATGAGTTGTAAGAAAATATATTAAAATATAATTGTTATTTTAGAGAAGGCTTGTTTTAGGTATGAAATTACTGATTTAGACTAACAATTCTTGGTGACGTAGATACTCTAAAAACCCAAATAATCGAAATATTAAACATCGTTATGCCAGTTACATTGTAACTCTAATGTCAATCAATTTTTTTACATGCTCTTTTGGTTGCCTAGTAACAGTTTAGTTTTTCTTATTTTAAAACTGCATTTTACAATCATGATGCAACTTTTTGCGCATGCGTAAAATAAAATGTGTGCTCATGAAATTCAACCAGTTTCTGTCTGATGGCTATGACAAATATTAGTATGCTCATGAAATTTAACCAGTTTCTCTCTGATGGTTATGAAAAATATTAGTATGCTCTTGAAATTTAACCAGTTTCTCTCTGACGTAAAAAAATTATCTTTTTGTGAAAAACATTTTTGGCTTTCAAGCTAGTGATATCTTTCTACGTATAGAATTCATCATTTCTATGTTTAGTTTTGGGAATATTTTGTAGTAATTCTCAACCTGGCTCCTTGTTTCTACGAGGAGATAATCTACACTGTATGTAAACAATCCTTTCTATTGTACTTTATAAATTACCAGTAAATGTAAAGGTTAGAAATTAGTTATTCAAAACAAACACAATTTGTAAAATTGTTTCTCTTTAAAGAAATACATACCTTCATAGATAAAAAGTAATTTAAGGTCCAAATTAGTAAGAACAGGTAAGAAGCTAGTAAGTGTACATACCGCTTGTACTCCATTCAGGATCACAGTTTTCCCAGGGAAGCCTCCTGGCCCAAGAAGCGAACGTATAAAAGAGAGTCCAAGCAATGATAACATTATAATACAGCATTACAACACTTGAGACCAGGATCATTCCATAACCAAGGCCTGAAAGATAAGGATTTTATTCCACATATGCTCTAAATTGGCCAAATTCTAACATTTTATTTTCATTTGCCCTCCTCATCCCTTACACACAAAATATAATGTTTCTACTCTATAAGGTTTACACATTAATAAGAAAAAAAGAAACAGGCGATTAGAGATCACTTGTATAAAACTCTCATGTCATGTGTCTAATTGCTATAAATACTTTATTGTAACTATATAAATATATATACATGTGTGTGGTGTGTGTGCATAGACTTATTCATTCACATCAATATGTAGATATTTAAACACTAATTATGTTTCGTATCATTCACAATTCACATCCAATCTATACCCTACCATTTATTTTAACATTAAAATGCTTAAATGTTCAGCTGTCATTAACAAAGAGCTAATAATATCTCAATGATGTTCCTATGTTTTATACATGAAAATATATTTACTCTTGTGAATACGACACTGAAACAAGCCCACAAAACACCGTAGAAACTAACCTTGAAAAAGTGGGCAGAAACGCTCAAATAAAACAACAGGTCCAAGGTTAGCATACTGACCAATGGCCAGTTCCATAAACATCAGAGGTAGCCCAGCCAGCAGCATCATCGCTATGAAAGGTATCACGAAAGCTCCTTGAAGGATGAAAGTAAAAGCTCAATACAAGGAGAAATAAAATAAGAATAAAAGTTTGGATATAAACATAAAACGTGTATATATAAACACACACATTATAAACACAAAACACACATACCTAAATATACACACACACTATAAAAGTTCTTTCTAGAAACGTAATATTGCCTGAAACCATTCACCACTACTAATGTTTTATATGTAATTACAAAAATAAAATTTGGAGTTAGGTGACAGAGAGAGTTATTGTGAACTTATAAACTCCACTTCCTTTTCATTCGGTTCATTGGTGAGATTTCAGGCTCCTACTTCAGGTCTTATCATGGAGCCTTAAATGTCGTAAAACCAGACTGAGAGAAAATAGAAGTCAACATATATATAATAAGAAATTCCATCTCACCAAATGTATTGCCAAAATTAACGTTGAAAGAATAACTACAGTTACGAATAGTTACTGTATGAATAGTTACATAAATCTTTAAAACATATATACGATCATGAGTAACAGTTCTACCAACTTTAAGAACGAACGTTCAAAAATTTATATTATATCATATTCGTGCACATCAGAATTTTGTTGGCTGTATAAAAAGATTACTAACCTCCGCCATTACTGTAACATAAATATGGGAAGCGCCAGATGTTGCCAAGGCCAACGGAGTAGCCAAGTAACGACAAAATAAAGTCAAATCTTCCGGTCCAGTTTCCTCTCTCGATACCCTCTTCATCTGAGCCGCTGACTTGATCTTCATCTTCTTCTTTGGGAGACAAAGGGACTTGACTGCTCACTCTTGGAAACTCTTGTTCTTCATTCTACAGAAACACTTTTCAAGATCAATCACCAAGTTTCTGTTTCTTTCAAACCAAAAGCACAAAAACTTCAAACGCGCATCATATTTCCTCCTTACCTTTATTATGGTGTCTGCAGATACGGGAATTAGTTTTGGTTCATTATCAACACGAAGCACATTAAACATAAAGCAAACTTTCAACAACTAATAAAATTATGTAACATTGCGATTCTGTTCAATTCTACTGAAAATCCACCAGCCATTGTAAAGTTTTAAGTCACAGCACTTTAGCGTTTTTTATATGTTTTGGGTAATAAAAGCAAAAAAAAAAAAAGGATCTCAGCTTCTTTTATGAGAACCGTTAAATTATGGTGAAGCTATATTCATCGATTTTTGTTGGACAAAAACAAATAATTCTTGTCCAATAATTTCAAATTAGAAAACAGATATGTCTAAACAACACATAAGCTTCATGATTTGAGGATATATATTTTAATACCTGTGCCAATACTTGTCTTTTGGGTATCTGTAAAATTCAAACCTCTATTTATCAGTTACTAAAACACTTCAGTAAGAGTGCGCCAGCTTAGGGTTTCTACTTCGATCCGTGTGCGTCAGTTTAGCTTGAGCCCAGTTCACAACGAAAACAATTAAAATACTGGATAGCCATTGATAATACAAGAAGTAGTTAATGTATCGGTCTCTGAAGAAGTACGAATAAATAATACAAATTGTGCTAAAAATAAAAATAAAATTCATTTTAAATCCCGCACTTACATCTCTACTTAATTGCGAATAATGATATAAGCAATTCTGCTTCGTCCCGCACTTACATACTTCAGGAATAGGGGAAGCGGAAAATACGATAACTAGTTCCAGTGAGGCAAGTTTGTTTAGAAAATTTATTATTATTGACTACATTCACAAAATTTCATCCTTCATTTGCATAAGTTATGGTAAGATTTATTAATGAAAATATTATTTTTTTATTGTTTAATTTCACCAGAAAAGTTCCAGCTAACTGACAGTATGGATTTAATTTAAAAAATATTTTTTTCTAGAAGCTGTTATCGCATTTGTTTTGTATTGAAGACTACTTTCTTTCAACAACAAGGGAGGATGTACAGCGAAACTAGAATCCCTTCATAATCTAACACTTTCAGTTTGAGCTGTTAAACAAGAGATAGAAGCTTTCATTATGGAACTACAGAGCTGACATATATAAGCTTGTTAAAATCATACACCTATGCCTATAGCTCTGCTAGTTAGTACAGGTGTATAAGACATATGCGGAACAGATATTTTTGCAATCATTTATTTTTTGGAAAGCTAGTCCTTGTTGGCGTGAAAAGAAATACGATCTTTTAGAAGTTAATATTATGAGGATATGTTTGATATTAGGCACAATATTCTTCTTATAAACTAGTAAAGCCCAACATCTAGGATTCTGGATTAAGTAATAGAGCTATCATTCAAACAAAGTGAAAATCAGATCCCTAGCCATAGCCATCAAAATCATTATGACAGCTGATATCGGAGGCGAGTTATGGGCATTTATGCACTGACGGTAGCCATCTTGGATTTTACCATAAGAAATATTACCTTAAATTAGGTTAACCGAGAAATGGATTTTCATTGACTTCCAAATTCTAAACACAGACATTAAAATCACTTTCATAACTTATATAATAGTCAAGGTATGCCCACCAATACGAATTGGTGGCCACCCTGGATATTTCAATAATGTTAAAGTACGTTTTAAAGATATACAAGGCACTAAAATATTGAGTGTTCAATAATTTTAGGTTATGTGATCTGCTGCCCAAATATTTAGGATTCGTTATTCCAATACTCTGACATCAGTGAAATAATTACTCTTCGAACAAAACAACAAGACGCCTCCTGGCACCTTGTGGTATGGATCTATACCTCTTGTATTACAGAATATTTCGTGGTTGAAGATGATATTAGGTGATGTCTTAATAAAATAGCCAACAAGTGTAAGTTTTATCCAGCTGAAAAAATATCAAATAACAAACAATTCTAACTTGTGATAGACACAATCAATGAACTCGCTTTTAAAATCTTGCCAATGAAAATATTTTGTTGACTCAAAATAACAGAATACTAACTAAAAACTAAATAGATTAATTGTGACATCAGTGGATATCAACATATATTAGAATTGTGGTATTCCTAAACGAAACACTACATACAGGTAATATCGACTGCATTCATTAGAGTAAAGCAGGTGGATTACTAAAGTTTCTAAAACAAAGATCGAATTATCTCAATGAAGGGATAAACGCTGTGTTGATGGTAAAAAAGTTCTATGTAAAATATAAAACGAAGAAACACAAAGAATCGACAACATAAAAAGCACAGTTTGGTTTAAATTAAAACTGTTCAAGCAGCTGTGTTGAATTTCACACAAAGCACTTGAGCTTTAGAACGTCTAGTCAATGGTAGAGAAAATAATTATATATAACACAGACGAGGGTGGTAACCATTAGAATAGTTGAAAAAAATACCAGGGTGGTAAATTTATGTTTAAATACCATTAGAATAGTTGAAAGAAATACCAGGGTGGTAAATTATGTTTATATACCATTATAATAGTTGAAAGAAATACCAGGGTGGTAACTTATGTTTAAATACCATTAGAATAGTTGAAAGAAATACCAGGGTGGTAACTTATGTTTAAATACCATTAGAATAGTTGTAACAAATATACAGGTAACACAGAACAAGAACAGTTGTGCTAATCACGTAAATGTTATTTCCTTCAGACACTCTGGCCAACAACTTCTGGAACATTGAAACCAATTAACCCATTGAATGCTGATTCTCCGTAAAGGGTATGGTCCGCATCCGGCAGTTGAATGAGTGTGTGCCGTATACGGGGTACGGCTTGCAAAAATTTCGTGCGCTTTTAGAGTAGACACAATCAATGGGTTAAGAATTCTTGGCTTCCTGGGCAAGAAAGATTCAGCTGAGTCATTCTAATTGTTATACAGCTAACCAAGTGGAGGATTCTAAAATACCAGAATGGCTTAATTTATTTAATAATTATGAAATGAGTATTTTCAAACTCCAATCAAAAAGCGCACATCACAAAATATACCTACTGTTTCAAAGTAACAATGTAAACAAAACTGAATCTTAATTGCAGGTAAATATGATTAAAATATCGAGAATTATATACAAGTAATTATAACGTGCATAATATTAACGTGAAATACAAGCTTATAACGATCATTACCTTCCCCTACAACAGACGACATTTGATAAATATGTATCAACAAACTGGTCATTCTTTTACTGTCGCCAAAGAAACTTTGTGGACTTTCTTCAGTCAAGACTACAAAGGCTCGTAATGGCAATTATTATGCAGTATTCTGTAATTAAAATTTTAATCATTATCATCGAAAATTTTAAGGAATATTTATAAGTCTACAGTTGCCATTAGAGCCATCACTACACTAGCATAATATATATATATATATTATTATTTCTTTGCATTTCACTCATAACGAAATGTATTTCGTGAAAGTTATTATAGCAAATTAAGTAATGTATGTTTCTTTTGTTTGTTTGTTTTGTTTCTTTTGAATTTCGCGCAAAGCTACACGAGGGCTATCTGCGCTAGCCGTCCCTAATTTAGTAGTGTAAGACTAGAGGGAAGGCAACTAGTCATCACCACCCACTGCCAACTCTTGGGCTACTCTTTTATCAACGAATAGTGGGATTGACCCCACATTATAACGCCCTGACGGCTGAAAGGGCGAGCATGTTTAGTGTGACGGGGATTCGAACCCGGATTGTGAGTCGAGCGCCCTAACCACCTGGCCATGTCAGGCCGGTAATGTATGTAGTAGATATATCTAACGATGCACTTGATGTTGTAGTGTTTATTATGTAACACAATAAGGAGGTAAACCATAGCCATTTAAACAGTGAAAACGTTGTTTCATATCTTGGAGGACTAGCATGACCTAGTGGTTAACGCGCTCGACTAGCAATCTGAAGGTCATGGGTTCGAATCTCCGTTACTGGACACACTCGTCTTTTCACCCGTGAAGGTGTTATAAAGTGACGGTCAGTCCCACTATTCGTTGGTAAAAGATTAGCCCAAGAGCTGGCGGAGAGTGGTATTGACTAGCTGCCTTCCCTCTGTCTATCACCCCTAAATTAGGGACGTGTAGCTTTGAGCTAAATTAAGAAAAACATATCTCGGTTCTGATATAAATTCATAGGCTACTTATTTGTACATAAATTATCTGTTTCTATGTAACTGGTCATTATATAAGTATGTGAACACGTATTCGAAATTTGAAGCATTCGCTTTAACATTTACATAGACAGTATAGAAAAAATAAAAAGGGTCGTTCATGGAAGTTTTTCTGTTATTCATTTAATAATGAATAAATAGGATTAAGCATACGTAATGAGGAATATACTACTTGCTGGTTGGTTGGTTGGTGTTTTATGGCGCAAAGCAGCTAGGCTATCTGCGCCAAACAACCGGTAAAAGCAATGAAAGTAGATTGAAGTAAAATGTAAAAAAAACAGCGAGTTAAAAATCAATAGATGTCGGTAAAAGATTTATATAGAATTAAAAAGACGTATAGTATGTAAAAAATTAAAAATACAATCTAGTCGGACAGTGTCACCATTACCAATGACACTGTCCAGCGTCAGGGGTAAACTTTTAGAAAAAATAGTGTCTAAAATGGTGCCGTGCTCACGGTCGTAACGACGGCACGACAGTAAAATGTGGGCTATTGTGACTTGAGTG